GAGGAAATGAAACTTTATCGAAGCTTCAAATCGGTACTCACTTTTCCTACTAATCGAAAATTGTGTGCGAATGATTTCTTTTTATGGAAAAATCATCCTCAAGAAAGCTCATTCCGTCTACTGTTCATTTCTTGCAAAGCAATCCACTGCGCTTCGATATTCGAGAGGCACGGGACCTTCAACAATTTGTGGTGGGACCCGTGAGTACATATTGAATTGAAGTGAGTGCTTCTTAAATGTATGATTTAAAACTCTTGTTGGTTCCACTTATCACTCTGTTCCGTAACCATCAAGTACAGGGCATTGCTGTATATACCTCAATAGTTTAAGAACTCAATAAACATTAGTTTCATAACGGGTTGAGAAAAATAGCATGAAAATCTATCATCCATTAATATTACACGGCATTCGAATGGCTTTGCTACGCTTCGAATAGCTGCAATGGCGAAGGAATCGTGTTTATGTTGAACAATAATAATATAGTCGGATGTGCACCGTTCTATTAAATTTGTAGTTGTTTGCAGCCAGTGCAGCTGTTGAAACGTACAGTACTTGTCTGGGTTTCAAATTAGAATTATGTGAACCCGCGTTACTGTACGTATTCGTGTTTTAAGACAGCGTATTAGCGTTTGCGTGAATAAAAGAAACTACTACTACATGTACTACAAGCAAAAATATAATCTTCAACAGTAACAGTTTAAAACAGTTACAAGAGGGTAATAAAATTAACTTGCAACGCTGAAGGCACAAAGGCATTGTATGAATATTTAGTAGGTTTATTCGTCCAAAGGGTGTATATATCTCATAATTTCTACAGTAAGCAGAGGGTGCGTAAAGGGACTCATTTAAAGGACAATAACCCCGTCATCTCTGCACCAATGACAACAAAACTTTTTGAGCCCATGAATTTCAGCCAAGCAGAAGTGTTACATTCATTGTCAATATGAAAAAACTGACGTTGGTGTTCGAGAAATACACACGATGGTTGATTTTAAGAACTTGTAAAGTTTTGTTTTGCATTCAATTGTGGGTGAAATGTCATAAACTGGGTTGTTTTCGAACATATTTGCTGATGTTCAATCATATTGACAAATTAAAGTCTCTTTGGTTGAATTTCATTTATTCGAAGTGATTTTGTCGAAATTAGCGTCAAGATGATTGCATTATTACCCTTTAAATCTTCTTTTTGAGACACATGATTTTTATATTTTTAACAAACTTAATAATAAATAATATCTGCTTGTGAACGGTGTGCAACTTTTACCTCGTAAAAGCCTTTTGAGGGTTTCAAGAATAGCCTCTGCTTACTGAGTAGGGCATATATCCACTGAAATTTGATTACTAGAGGGCTCCGATGTGCAAGGGAGGAAACGATTGTGGGGAGGGTATAGGAATAGGAAATGTTTATGAGCCCCAGTAAATACAATCGAGGATAAACAAGACCTCTAGACAGGGATATCTTCAATATTAATAGACACATTCAGAATTTGTTTCTGAGCTCAAGTTTAAGCTAGTTGGCCCCGAATCATGAGGACTTATGAGGTCAGTAACCTTTAAAGTATCTCGAAATTTCAAGGGTCAAGGGAGGATATGCCCTACTTGCAAAGGTGCGGGCTGACAGTCTGGCAATTGGCTCGCCACACACTGACCTCTTTAACACAACGGTGTGATAATCATAGGACTCCCGAGTCCTGACGTAGACTAATCGATGGAAGGGAAGACACGGACAGTTGCCTTACAGGATGTGATAATGAGCGTGCAAACAATATAATTATATTGGAAGGCATCATGAGAAATCGACGGAGGCGGAGGAGGAGGGGGGTGGGAGTTGAAGAAGTAGAAGAAGAAGAAGAAGAAGAAGAAGAAGAAGAAGAAGAAGAAGAAGAAGAAGAAGAAGAAGAAGAAGAAGAAGAGGAAGAAGAAGAAGACGCGGAGGAGGAGGAGGAGGAGGAGGAGGAGGAGGAGGAGGAGGAGGAGGAGGAGGAGGAGGAGGAGGAGGAGGAGGAGGAGGAGGAGGAGGAGGTGAAAAAGGAGGAGGAGCAGGAGGAGGAGGAGGGGAGGAGGAGGAGGAGGAGGAGGAGGAGGAGGAGAAAGAAGAAGAGGAGGAGGTCGAGGAGACAGATGTCTATAGTAGGTCAACCAACTCCTTCTGTTTTATAGTAAGCCTGTTTGCCACAATATGAACACCCAGGTGAGTTCCAGGACATCATCATCATAGTGCCAGACATCGGTGACTACTGTTTGCTACTCCTTTTTCGGTCGGGACAATCTAAAAAAAAAAACAACAACAACCGAACTACATTGTTCTTGTATTTTCCTGTCACCTATCTGTTCACAGGGGGCTCTCGTGGCCTGGAGGTTAAGGTGTTGGCCTCTCATTCAAAAGGTCCCGGGTTCGAATCCTGATAGCAATCGAAAAATTTCTTCTCTAAAATGGTCTCCTTTCCCCTCTTTTCCTGCTCTCTAGCAATGTTCTGTTGTCTACTTTCGTTTCCATTTTCTGCCCCCACCCCCTCTCCTCCTTTGCCCCCTCCTCTGGGCTCCTGACTCTTTCTGCAGCCTTTCTAGTGCTACTCCTTGGCTCCTCCTAACTGCTGTCTTTCTGCCACACCCCTGATCTTCTGGTAGGAAATATCTACACCTAGCCTTCTCGGACAAGGGTGAAAAATTTCGGAGGGCCCGTGTGCAAGTTGCGCACGTTAAAGATCCCTTGGTGGTCTAAAGAGTAGGCTTCGGCCGCCACCCGGGCAAAATTCAAAATTTCCTACCAACTGAAAATAATTTATTAGGTGTGTCCCGCGCGCTCATATGACCTTATGCAGTTGCGAGCGCCGTAAAAATACTTACATAAAAATCTGTTCACATCCTCCAAGCAAATAGCTCGTTGTCGTTTGACTTCGATTTTTCTTGTATCCCTTTTCATGTGTCTCAAAAGTTGCATTTGTCTCTTCCTAATTTATTGAGGGAGAAAGGGGGGGGGGGTATTAGTAGGCAGACTACTCTCAGGCTTCGTTCAGCTCTTCCTCATGAATTTGATTTCTTTTTCTTTCAGTAAATTATCAATAGTCTCCTAATAGACAACATTTCTGTAACTTTAATATTTTTTCACTATAGATCTAATTGGTAACTGCCCAGTATTCAAAGCCGTGTAGCAGCGTCGGCTACTTCTTGTCTTTATAAACTTTTACTTTGGTTGTCATTGGTTCTTTTTTCTGTTTTTCTGGATCGGACACATTCAATTGCAACTGGTTTAGTTGTTGCAATTGTTCGTTCAATTTCTGTGATATGCTTGGCATCGGAAGTCATAATATATCTTAGTTATTAAAACTGCTGAACTTGTTTGATCGTTTTTGTTTACCATAGTTTATAAGATTGCAAACAGCATTTACGTATTTCTTGTATAGTTTATTACGTATTCTGTTTTTACTTTACGTTTAAGAATAACCCGCTACCTTCACTTTCCGTCGCAACAGTGTCTAAAACCAATTTCAAGTCCTTTTCCCAACCTGCAATGAAAACTGTGTCATTGGCATATTTCACTTATATTTTCTTTATTCACTTTGAGGCCCGGACTTTCTTTTATATTTCTAAGGAATATTTCACTGTAAAAGTCAAAGTGGTCAGGTGGCATAACACATCTTTTCCTAACTTCTCTTTAGCCAGTTTACAGTCGCTGTACTCCCCTTCAGTTGTACACTTAACAAATTCTTAAATCCTTATCATACCAGAATTGTAAAAGGTTCGTCGAGTATGACTTTGCTAAAAGTCTATGTATAATCATTAAAGCAGAAAATGTAGATTTTTCTGTGCTTCGATATACCAGTTTATTAACATTATTAGGATAAACATGACATTCAGGAACAAAGCCAAATTTTTTTTTTATCTACACTGTTAGACTTTCCTCATTTTTTCCATCAGTATTAGCAGCAACATTTTTGGGGTGAAATGAATCATAAAGCTTATTGTTCCGTGACCATAAGATATCAAATGAATAATTAACAATTGTTACCATTGGCACCGACAACAATGAATATAAACGACAGCTGTTGGTAAATGTTCCACTATGAACCCCCCGCTCTCTCTCTCTCTCTCTCTCTCTCTCTCTCTCTCTCTCTCTCGCTCTCTCTCGCTCTCTCACTCTCGCACTCGCTCTCTTTTTCGCTGTCT